ATTAGGGTCTATTCGGCTCTACCAAAAAGGGAAAACCGAGCGCCGGCTTCTAAAAATCCAAGGAATAAACAAGAAGAAAATTATGCAAATGCAAATGAGGCGAAATCAGGTGGGGGATCTGATCGATCGGTTGACCCGGCCCATTGAGGGTCGAATGCAGGGGGTCGGTCACCTGCGTATGCCTATCTGCCCCCGGGGCCGTCACCGCGTATTGACGCGGAATTTGGCCTCCGGGCAATCAGGAAGACTAAGAATTCTTTTGCCTATCTGCGACCCGACTTTTCGAAGCAAATTTGCATCTCAAAAGTATCGGTCTGGCACTTAAGCATTAAGGGGGGTGATAATCAGCTAAGATTTAAATTTTTATAGGTACAAAATCGGAAAGACTCCTCAAGGACTCTGCTAGCCTGCTTCCACAAAGTTCTGCGCTAGCAAGTCCCTTCCGGAAAACTCACCCTTCTCGCGCTCGGCGGCCTGTTCAGCTTCTTTGCGGCGCTCGAGGCGTACGCGCTTTAGGATGCCGTTTGTGTAGCAGCCGGTCTCGCTGAAAAATTTGGCGTTGGAATAGATAGAGTGGAAGAGAGAGCGAGAGAGAGAGAGAGAGAGAGAGAGAGAGAGAGAGAGAGAGCTAGCGAGAGCGAGGGAGAGCGAGAGAGCGAGAGAGAGAAGGGGCGAGCGAGAGAGACGTACCGCTTCTTGACGACGAGTCCCCGGGTGTGGAACGGCTTCTTTAGACGTTCCAAGACGACGGCGGGGAGGGGCTCCTTGACGGGACTCATCTGCTTGGTCCACGGCCAGATCTAAAAGCGGAAATTCCGTTTTAAACGGACTAGGATGGCAGAAATCCGAAGGCCCTTGGAAAGATGCCAGTTCGAATTCTCGATCACTAATGGACCTCTCTAGGCTTCAAAACGAAGCCAGATTCGCGGATTTAGGTTTTTGATGGGTTACGGTACTCCAAACTGGCGAGTCGTGAAAAATTCGAAAATTAGAGTTATTCCGGATTGATGCAACTCACATCAGAGCAAATGCCGGCGCAAGTGGCGACATCGCTCGTCTGAACGGCTTCATGTCGCTTCCACTCGTTCCCATTGACGGACAGCGTCTCTGAGTGCACCATCGTTAGGCGCGTCGTTTTCTTTGGCGGCCCGATGGGCGAGGGCAGCTTCTTCAGTTGCTGAATCTCCTGAAAATACGCAGATTTTCAGCAAAACTGCGTCAAAAAATTCCTCAGTAATCACGGCTAGCCTGCCCTTTCCTAAAGAATCACTGCTACCCGCCACCTAAAGAATCTCGGCTAGCCTGCCGTTCCCTAAGAAATATTGGCTAGCCTCACCATCAACGATTCCTTGGCCTCGTTCTGGAATCTGGTCCACTCGGCGTTGAGCGGCATCTCAAATGGCTGGGGAGGGGACATTTCGGGTAGAGTTGGAGACGAGGATACGGTCGTGGCAGGGCTGCTGCTCGGCTGCCGGTAACTGTCCAAGATTCTCTGCTGATTGGCGAGAGTTCTGCAAGAACTTCGAAATTAGTTGTAAAGCTTGCTCCGATCTGGTTGCGCCTAAGCCTAAGCCAAGCCTAAGCCTAAGCCTGATCCTAAGCCAAGAAAATACTTACCTCTCGGCCGCTTCCTTCACATTTTCCTGCTTCAGCTCGAGGCGTCTGAGCAGGTCCATAAAACGTTCCTGCGTGTTGTCCGGTTCCGGAAAGTCGAAGGGCTGCAAAAGGAGCGTTTAAAGGGACCAGGAAGCCAAAAACATCTTTTCGCAAAACCCTAAAGTCTAAAATGAAAAATTGGAATGCCCGGTACAGTATTTTGAACCTTCACGAGATTTTAAAAGAGAAAATGGCCCGACTTTCCGGTTCCTTTAAACTTGTTGTTCTTACCGATAGTGCACGATGGCCGGCCCAGTTGCGGATCTCCAGCGCGCGGTTGAGCGGCGCGATGGAGGTGGTGATGCTCAGGGTGCGGCTGGGCTGCTTCTTCAGCCAGTACAGTAGTTCCTAAAAATTGGATAAAGTCTCTAGCAGAGATGATTGAGGGCAGATTATTGAAGCAAAGGCAGGCTAGCAGAGATTTTTGGGAACGGCATAGCAGAGATTCTTTAGGAAAGGGCATCGCAGAGATTCTTTAGGAAAGGGCATATCAGAGATTCTTTAGGAAAGGGCAGATTAGCAGAGATTCTTTAGGAAAGGGCAGACTAGCAGAAATTTTTTAGGAAAGGGCAGACTAGCAGAGATTCTTTAGGAAAGCGCAGGCTAGCAGAGATTCTTTAGAAAAGGGCAGACTAGCAGAAATTCTTTAGGAAAGGGCAGACTAGCAGAGATTCTTTAGGAAAGGGCAGACTAGCAGAGATCTTTAGGAAATGGCAGGCTAGCAAAGATATATCTTTAAATAACTAAAAACTCACAAAATACTGCCGTGGGCTGCTCGAGTTGGTGGTGATACAGTCGCCCTCCTCGTCGGTGTAGGTGAAGTCAAAGTGGCGTTGGGGCATCCTAGAAAATGGGATTTTACAAGTTTCTATCGTAATCTGAGGCTCTAAGGATATTGTAGCAGATTACTGTAGCCTCGAAAATACTGTAAAAACCAACTTTTCGGCAACCCGAGCTCGAAGCCACTCGGCGCACTTGGAGAGGTCGCCGGCCGACATTTTGGAGACGTCTGGAATCCAGGGATAGAGAGGCAGAGAGAGAGAGGGAGAGAGAGAGAGAGAGAGAGAGAGAGAGAGAGAGAGAGAGAGCGAGAGGGTGAGAGAAACCTACCATAAACGCAGATACGCAAAAATTCGGCGTCGTTATGGTTGAAGGAGAGCGTCATCTTGTCCTTGACGTTCACCGGCTGATGCTGGGCCCACATATCGGCCAGCGTCACCATGGTGCAATCCGGGGGTAGAGATCAGTTGGAGGGGAGAAGGCTGCGGATTTGACTACCCTAAAATGATAAAAATAGCGGAGAGAGTGATAGAGAGAGCGAGAGACAGAGAGCGATTGAGAGAGAGAGAGAGAGAGCGAGAGACCCCTAATTACTGTAGCCCGGTTGGCAAGGTCAAAAATTGCCCCCGGCATCATTGGCTCGCCCAGGCTGTCTTGAAGTCAGACAGTGCTAATAGTTAGTTCCAAGGAGCTGAAAAGTGCCCAAAAACGCCAAAATTCCCCACAAACAACGATTAGCAGTAAACACTTGAAGCGGCAACATCCTAAGCCTAAGCCGAAGCCCAACCTAAGCCTAAGTTTAAGCCTAAGCCTACATTCCCCTCTTACTTTCTGCTACCTACAATTCCTCCCTCCACGTGTATGTAAGTCGCCCGCCTTGCCAAGGCCATTGATCCGAAAACCGATCGCCTGGCCCGGCAGAGTGTTCCGGGCCGCGACTATTTACGTTTGCCAGGATTCCGTACAGGAGCGAGAGGGAGAGAGAAAAAGAGAGAAATAGAGAGAGAGAGAGAGAGAGAGAGAGAGAGAGAGAGTGAGAGAGTGAGGGAGCGCGAAGAGAGAGGGAGAGAGAACGAGATAAGGAAAAGCCGCTTAATCGGTGTTCCTGGTAAGCCGTTGCTAGGTGCGTTACGCCGCGATGCTAATTACGATATGGGTGTCGAGCTGCACGGGGCAAGCACTTTTATAGTTACGGTAGGGAACAACAAATGACTTTGACCAATTGACTTCCCAAAGAATCTCTGCTATCTCGCCGAAACTTAGTAATTGCTTAAATGGATCTCTGCTAGGCTGCCCTTACCGAATCTCGATTAGATGGCCCTGTCACTAAAATTCCTCAAAGAATCAGTGTTAGCCAACTCCTTAGCCCTGCAGCTCCTAAGAGGATCTCTGCTAGCCTGCCCTTACCTTCCAATTCCTCAGAAACCTATCTTAGCTTTCCACTAGCCGCAAAATCCCCAAAAGCCTTTGCTAGCCTCATCAGGACCTCTCCAAATTCCACAAAATTCTTTGCGAGTCATCCCTTAACCCCCGGGGATTCCTCAAAGAATCTCTGCTAGTCTGTTGTTGATAGCTAGATACATGATAATCTAGATCAGCAGCCAAAATCAGAATATCGGAAAACCAGTCAGAGCCCACTAGCGGTCTAATGTTGGTCGACTACTACTCGGCAATCGGGTCAGTCAGGAGTGGGGGTCGAGAGAGAGAGAGAGAGAGAGAGAGAGAGAGAGATCACCCCAGCGATTAGAGAAAAGGGCCACCTAATAGAGTACAGTGACGAGTGATACAGTAGCCGAGATTGAGGGGAAACAAATAGCCACGATAGCCGTTTGCTCCGTCCACCAGTAGGAAAGAGATGCAAGGGGAGTGGTGGCCGGTCGATGGTGTGTACTCAAGCCAGTCAGCTGAGCACCGAGAGAGCACGGATGGCAGAGAGCGCGCAGACACGCGCTCCCGGCGATCGATGGTCCACCGCTATGCATAGCATAGCAAAGTGAGAGGAGCACTTCCACACTCCACACCACAGCCGCATCCGACTCCCCCCGCTCAGCTGTCAGCCGGTGCAACATGCCAACCGAGGTGCATCGCCCCCGGTGGCGATGGCGCTAGTGAAAGTGAGGGGAAAGTATGCGCGGAAGGACTGATTAGCCGGCAGAAATAGTTGCAAGATAAAGTCTAGGTGCGAAACTGGGGAAATTATGAAAATCTAGTCTCAATCTATCCGTTAAAATCGAATGTAATCCCCATGGTATCGCTAGTGGCAATGAGGGGAACTGTAGGGCTGTAGTCTCCAGGGGGGAAGTAGCAAGCGGAAAACAAATTAGAAACGCCAACCCCAACGTATCCAAAATCTTCTGTGAAACATTCCCTGCAATTTTCTATCCCACAAATTCGTGAACATTTACTACACGTTAAAACATGAGACCAAAATTCCAGAACGACAACAACGAATCAAAATTAAACAATGAACAACATAAATAAAAGAAGGAGAAACCGGCCAATGAGGGGACCAGGAGGATCACGGAGACAAACAAAGAAACAATCTGGGCACGCGGTGTGGTTCAGTTGTAAATGTCCTCGCGATCGGCGGCTCCGATGCCGAGCGGGTCGTCGAACGCCTTGAAGTTGCGGAAGTGGACCGGGCGATGGGCCTCGTGGTAGAACTCCTTGGGCTGCGCCAGGCACAGGTCGTACTTCATCGACGCCTCGAAGCGGACACCTGAAAAGCAAGAATTAAGATAAGAATAATTAGATTATATGAGGCAAAAAAGTGTTATATTCAACGAGGCTCACCTTGGAAATTGTAGTTCCAGACGCCGGTTGACGGCACCATGAAGAAGCCGAGGAAGCGATCCGAGAGCAACATCTAAAAAAATTATTAAAAGCCGAGAGAAACTTCATACCTGCACTTTCTCATAGTGAGAGGGTAGATAGCCCTTCGGGTTGAGGCCCTTGTCCGTGTTCATCTTGCCCCATTCGTAGCCGGACGGCGTCAACTTATACGACGTCAGGGAGACGGAGCCGGGCGTGAACGAGCATGTGATGACGATCGTCTTCTCGCCGTCCCACACCGGGTTCTCGGTCAGCACGCGGGCGTGCAGCGAGACGTCTTGGGGAGATAGTTGGGGCAACTCGTTGGGCTGCGTGTGCATCCTGAAAAAAAAGTTCATTTGTGATCAATTTTACAAACCATCCAAGTGGTTCTAGATCAGCGAGCAGCTCATGCCGTGGCAGCGTGTTGGGCAGGGAGACGACTTGATGCGTTCCGGTCTGCGGCGTCAGCACAATGCAGCGGATCTCCTTGACTTGCGGGTTGTCCGGTGGGGAGACGCCGTACAGGAAGCCGGCAATCTAAAAATCAGAGCGTAATCCGTGAGAAGGACCAGCTCATACCTGGGTACGGAGATCGGAGATCGTGATGAACTTCTTCAGAATGTTCTTGGGCAGAATGTAGGTGTACCCGGTGTCCTTCACATCGTCCGAGTTGACGTAAATGTGCTAAATGGATTTCTGATGAAAACTAGGCGAAATTTACCTGGGTTCGCAGGTGAAGGTTGGTCGAAGAAATCGCCCGAACGCGCCATTCTGTCCTTGAGGCAAAGGTGGCCGTCTCGTAGTTTGAGGTGGTCGACGTGATGATCTCGTCGCCGTGCTTGTTCACAGTGCGCGTCGTCGTGGCGGTGACTTGACTCTGCTCCTTTGTCTGCTTCTCGATGTCGGCGATTTGCTGACGCTGTTGCGACGGCGCCGAGATCTCCATACCGAGGATGATGTCACGGACCTGAATAAGCATAATGTGCCCCGAATAAAGATAGTTACCTCAGATTGGGTGAGCGACGCCACATTCACGTTGTTCTTCTTGCCGTAGTCGGCCAGGATCATGTCCTTGAGCGCCAACTCGACCTTGATCCATTCCTCGTCGGTCAGGCTAGGCCAAATGTGATGCGGCTCGGTGGTGGTCGTCTTGTCCGGCTTCAGGATCACCTTCGACTTGTCCGGATTGATGTGCATGCCTCGCATGATCAGGATCACACGAGAGAACGCCGTGTAGGAGGAGATCGTCTTCAGCCAGTCATCGTACAAATTGAACAGCACCATCTGAGGCTCGGTCGCCTTCAGGATGAGATCACCGAATTTCTCGACCTAAAAAACTTTTCGAAAAATCTGTTATAAAGTACCTTCATGATGGCCTGGAAAGGCAGCATCAGCTCGGAGCCCTTGATGACGATGTTGGGGAAGTCGAGCAAGTGAACTTCGAGCGGATCCAACATGGCTTTTCTTGTGACGATGATCTGTCGTGGTTGTTCTTCCACGGGCAGCGAACGGATCAGAGCGGCGACTTCTTCGGCAGTTTTCCACTTGGCCAACTAAATCAAAAAGGTTTGTTGATGTGAATAGGGCAGTAAAAAACCTGGGAGAGACGTTTCTGGCCGGCCCAGACGGAGGTGTGGATGATCTTCAAGAACAGCTGCCCTGTGCGAGGATTGAAGATGAAGATGGCGCCGTTGATGGGCTTCGTCGTCAAATTGCCTTCGAAGGTCTTGTGAATCGTCACGCGGTAGACGTTGGTGTCATCGACGAACCTAAAAAAACAGTTGAGAATCGTTCTCAAGATAGAAAAATAGTATGTAAGCAACGAACCAGATAATTTGGTTGCTGAACAGCTCGCCGTAGTTCTGCGACGTCAAATAGGGCTCGGTGGGCTCGGAAGAGTAGAGCTGCAGACCCTTGCGGATACGTTCACGCAACACGTAAAAGGCCGGATTGGCCTTGATGATCTTGGCCATGGCTTGTCGAATCAGCGGCTTCATTCCCGGGAACCAGTTGCCGTACGCAGAGTACAAGTTGTAGGCAAGGTCGATGGCGATGAGCACACCAGTCGGCGACGGATAGATGGACATGTTGTCGGTGGTGTAGTCGAGGAATTTCGCACGAGCATATCTAGAAAAAATATATAAACAAAGCAGTAAATAATACCTTTCGATGTCGTGAGAATCGTAGTCGCCCCAACGCAGCTGGACATCAAGCCAATATTTCTGCGTGGTCGTGTTGTCCATAATGTCCTTGCTATCGGGCAGCAGCGACGGTCGGCTTACGGGCCACTTGTACTGGGCGAACAGCAGGATATCCGCGCACGAAGAGTTCATCTTGTACGACTTGCGAGGGTGGATCGTCTCCTTCTGCACGGTCTGGATCTCGAGCGCGTCCAGCTCTTGGTCGAACACCTAAAGTAATTTTGCACGGAGAGCATGAATTTTGAACCTGACACAAATCCATGACCACCGACTCGTGAATCTTCTGCCACAAGTGAGCTCGGAAGATCTGGATCAGCGAAATCTTCAACGTCGGGATCTTGCCGTGCATGAAGATGCCAGTCAAGTCGAGCTGCACTTGGAAACCGACGTACACCTAGAAAATATAACTATTTCATGAAAGAAAAAATTACGTTGGCACGGTTGATCGTGGGCGACCACCAGAGAGTGAAGCGACGGTTCGGGATTTGGTTGAGACCAGAGCGCTGGGCGTTGGTCAGCTTCTTGAACTTCATAGACTCTTCGAAGCCCGAGGCACGCTCCCAGAACAAGCCTTCCCAGGTCGGGAAATATGTTCCCTAAACAAACTTAGAATAGGGTTGAGAATAACTTACTCGGAACAACGTGTGCTCCAAGATGCCCTCCACACCGCCGAGCGCTTGGATCATGTCGGTGCGGTAGTTGTTTAAATTCCAGAGCTTGCCGTCATGCCGTTGATGCGTCCACCAGAATGGGTTCTGCTTCAAGATCTAAAAAGGGATTTCCAAACCACAATTCAATAACGTACCTGATAAGCCTTGAACTCCGTCCTGACACGCCATCCCTTGTCGTAGGCCAAAGTGTGACGATCCTTTTGGAAGAGGGTATTGATTCTTGGAATGCCGCGATCCCACGAGTCGTCGAGATCTTCGAGCGTCAGGCGACGGTTTTGTGCATTGGCTTCCTGTCGCTTGAGCGCATATTCGGCCCACACACGTTGCGAATCGACGAACTCCGCTTCCCAAGGCTAAAACAAAGTTGCTAATCGGGACTCGAAAACTAACCTGAATGTATCTGTACAAATTGGGGATCAGCTGGTCCTCGTCGTGTGTCATTCCAGAGCGGAAATGAGTGATGCCTCCGGCGTCTGTCTGCTGCATCCATCGAAGGTCGGACTGCGGGATGAGCACGTGTCCCATCGACAACATGCCGAGGCCTCCGATTTCTTTCGGTGTGTAGAAGACGACCGGCGGGAAACGCGCAGGCATTTTTGAGTTGAGGCCGATCTTGATACGCGTCTGGATTTTGTTCTCGCACTTGACCAGGAGATCCAAGAGCTCTTGCGTGTTGACGACCGCCTCACTAAAGCAGAAAAATATTATTAGACGGGTTTGCATTACCGATAGTAAGTCATCAATCCGATCAGCGCTGTGTTCCATTTGTTTACGATCTTTGTAAACGTGGTCGACCCGGAGCTCATCAGGATTTGCCGGATGCGGTTGTGGAATTTGCCCATCGACTCGTCATCGACGCGCAGGAAGCATTGGGCTGTCCTTTCCTTCGTCACCTGCAAAGAGGGCTTGAAAAAAACAAACAATTCAAACCTCATTCTGCAAATTCCAGACACCATCGCGATGCGTGATCTCCTCTTGGGTGGTACGGCACTTCGGCAAGATTCGGCATTCGAAGCCGCCCATATCGAAGAGTAGATTCGGGTTGTCCTTGGAGTAGACCGACACGAAGGCGTTCTCCCATTCGATCGTCGTCACGGAGCGAGGCAAGCGATTCTAGAAGCACATGACTTTTCATAGAAAATTATTACCTTGATATCCCAGAAAACCGCTCGGCCCAAGTTCACATCGTGCTTCATCAAACGCATGCGCGCATCACGAGGCCAGCACTTCTTGTTGTTGTAGCCGACGATGTTCTCATTGTTCGGGTCCGGGTGCTCGGTGAGGTAGCGCTGGATCAAATCGCGACTGTCGTCCGCAGTGAATCTAAAAACGGTTTACTATAGCAGCTAGGCGACAACTACCTGAACATGATCCAGATCCTGTCGATGTAGCGGCAGTAAAGTCGAATTGGATGCGCCGTTTCGGTAGCGATGTCCTAAATCAAAGTTTCATAATTTTTGCAAGTTAGTGTACGAACCTGGAAGGTCAGAAACTCGTTGGGGCACTGGGGCGGTCCGGCAACTTGGCTGGCACGACGTAGACCCAGGATGAGTAGATCGAGAACGAGACCGTAGTATTGCATGATGAACGAGGCGAATTGGAGGCCGCGGATGATGCCGAAGGAGTTGGTGTGGTTCATATCCTTGTAGTTGATCATCACGTTGTTCTTGGCAGACATGTAGTCGGCGATGTTGTGGTCAACGATCAATCTAAAAGCGAATGGAATAGTGGGAGAGAGGCATACCGTAGCAGTCTGTTCAGCACCATCAAGTCCATCTTCTCGCACACTTTCTCAAGCTTGGCCTCCATCATCACGTTGCACTCGCCGTCGGAGGTTTCCCATACGTCTTGCAGGTTGTTGATGCCTTGGCACCATTTGTAGACGAGGAGTGGCGGGGGCTCGCTGTCGCCAGGCTTGATCCATGCTGGGAAGAGTCTAAAACCAAAATGTTTTCAACCGAACTTCTGAAATTCAAAGAGTTGAATCATGAATTATTACCTTCGTTTGTCGGCCTCGTACCAGAGGTATTGATCCAGATAGGCATCAGTGACCTTCTCTAGCGGCTCGATGTCGTAGACGGGGATCAGATGCGAGTACAGGTCCATGAACTCGATGCCGACTTCCTTGAATGTGCGCTGCGTGAGCATGTGACGCTTGATCCGGGATAGGGCCTCGTGGGGGTTGTCGTACGCCTGCTCGATGAGGGCCAGTTCTTCACGCTGCGACTGGTTCAGCCGATTCTTCACCGAGTACGCCTCCTTGAGTCGTTCCAAGGCCTAAAAAAGTAAATAGAACGCTCTCGAAATGCATTACCAGAATCAAGAGTTTCGTGTCGTGCTTGTAGGAGAGCGGTGGGAAGGGAATTGGTGAGAAGCGACGAGACTCCAGCCAATGCACCGTGGTCGTGAAAATTGCAACGGCCTCTTCGGCAGAAATGTAGGGACCGTCCTTCAGGTAGTTGTGCTGGCGCTCTTGTTCAGCCTTCAGGTACAGACGCGTCAATCGCCCCAAGTTCTTCTTGCACACAGTCTTGTCGACGGTGGCTCCGCGACGGACACGCTCCCTAAATCACAATGATGAAGAAGATTTTGACAAACGTACCTGTTGTAATGAGCTGAATTGGTCCACCAATCAGCCTTTGCCTTGACGTAGCGCAGGATCATGTTCTCGACTGCCGTCGGCAGCCCAGGTACCTTCCAGGGGATGTTGGCCTTCCAACAGCGCCAGGCCTCGCTCAAATGTTGCAGGATCACGCGAGCCTTGTTCTGCTTGATGCCCTCTGGCATCATGTCGAGGATGTCGTGCATCACGGCAGCCCTAAACTTGGCTCAAAGAAAAAGAAAAATCAACGTACCTGAGCTCAAGATCGAAGTGCGATTCCACGCGTTGCTTGGTGACGGTCTTGGCGACGCCCTTGGAATGACGACCTTCGAATTGACGGGACAGCAGATTGCCGAGCCAACGTTCAAGAAGTGGAGTAATACCTATGTTGTTGTTAGAAAAGTGATAACATGAATCACCTCGCAGGAAGAAGAGCCACACTCGCCATCCTGGTGCCCAGAATCCGCAGCCAGGACCCTTGCCGACTGGGCCAGTATTGAAACGGTAGTAGATGATGTGCTTCAAATCTTTGCACATGCGCACCTAAAAGCATGTATTCGGCTTCAGAAAATAAAATACCTGTCGCATCAACTTGTACTTGTATCGATACATTCCCGTCAACTGGCCCACGTGTGCGAAGATGTACTGCAGACCGTCGGCGAGCTGGTAGGCGTCCACATTGTTCAGCCGATATTGCACGTGGGCGTCGACGATGAGCTTCGTCAGGCGCAAGATCTCACGACACAAGTGGAAGGCGTTTCCGAACCGCGACTTCTTGCGCTCCTTGGTGGTCAGCGTCTTCACCGGCTTCAAATTGAAGTTGTAGTCCAAGTGAAGGTAGTTCAAGTTCTTGCGATGGATGAGCAGGTTCAACATGTTGTAACCTTGACGAAGGACCTGCAACGGAAAGATTCATCATAATACCTGTGAAAAATTAAACCTGTAGGCCAGCCTCAACCCAGTCGAGCGTCGTCTGCTGGAAGAACTTGGTTCCCTTGAACGATCGGAAGAGATAGCGTCGTTTTTGTGGCTTGGGCGGGCGATGCTTCAGTGCGTTGAGGACGAAGACCTTCAGCAACTTTTGGTAGGAGACGCGCACTTTGACCGGCATGCCTAAAAAAATATTGAAAAAATACTGTGCAAATACCTGCTGGGCAATGCTCCCTGTACCATGTCTTGACAAGCGGCACATCGAGTGCACGCCTGGTTCTGCCGGAACGGAGGTTGAATGGCCGCGGGGCCCACATCAGCGCCAGCCCGTTGCCGGTGTTGTCGGTGTACAGCGGCACGTGTTCGAAGAGCGGCACAATGTCGTCGGGGAATTCCCACTGCTCGAGCTCTTCATCGTCAGGCAGCGGCTCGGCGGCCCTTTCCGTTGCGCTTGTAGCAATCGGATTGATGAGCGGGTCGTAGTAGAAGGCCGGGAGATCCGGATCCTCGGTCTTGATGAAGACGACCGACGGCTCATGGTACCACGCAACTTGGACGGGCAACGAGTTGAGCAGGTTGTTGTACATGTACGGGAACGCGATGCGGTACTCTGTACGGATGGGCGCCCGGATGATGATCTTGTTGATGTCGTTGAACTCGTTCCAGTCCTCGTCACTAAAGTGAATAAAGATAAAATACACACAAAAGTCAGACTTACACGTTGACATCCTTGACGAGCGGCTCGAACTTGGGGCCTCCGGGGATTGCCACGTTGAGCGCCTTGGCAGTGAAGAAGCTCTTCAAGTCGAACAGGTAGAAATAGTTGGTGTCGACGAGATCCGTGAGCAGTTGGTTGGCAACACGGTAGAGGGTCGCCATCATCGGAATTGAGAAGGCCCACTTGCGGTACGTTGTCCCATTGACGAACCTAGAAAAAATTTTCATTTTGAAAAGACTCCGCACCGAGTGTTGGCAAGGGGCTTGTGGTCGTAGAACCATTCACTGATGGCCTGGTCTTCTTCCGGATCAAGGTCCATCTGGATGGGCTCGAGGGGCTCGACATCTAAAACCATATGAATGCAATTAGCATTTGCTAGATACCGAGGATGTTGTCGGCATAGTCGAGTGGAGGCTCTTCATCGTCGAATGGAGGGAAGCGCATTCTCTAAACAAGAATGTAAAAAAGAGACTGAAAACAAAACCTTGAAGTGGCGACGATCCCTTTTCTCGCGACGCATCATAATCCACATCGCGCCCCACTGAGCCAGGTAAACCGGCTCGATGACTCGCGGAATATCGTTGACGAAAGTGATCGCGCCGGTGATGTGGTAGAGAACCTAAAGACAATTGCAGAAAACTGACGATTGAATACCTTGCAGTCTCGAATCTGCTCCCAGGGCATCGGCATATTCTCGAGCAGCTTCAGCACAGCGTGCGGCATGTACTTGAGCGCTCCGAGGTAGACGCGCTTGTCGTGCCGGTATTTTCTTGACGTCATGTCGCCGTGATCACGGATGATCTTGCGCACATGTTCTAAGCAGGAGTTGAAAGACAAATCTAAATTCCAGACCTGGAGGCATTTCTTCTTTCTGCGCATCGACAACGCCGAACTTGCGCTTCTCTGCGTAACGCTTCGACTGGAGTTGCTTCCATTTGCGCGCCTAAAATCATAACATCAACCAAAAACAGTTTTTAATACCTTGTCTTCGAGCGCGGCTTGCGGGACCGGCGGGCGCTTCTGCGTGACTTGTGGTGGGGCCCTCACGAGCGGTTGGCCGCCGCGGTACCCTTAGGAAGGAAATAATTAAAAAACGAGAATTTCAAATCACCTTGCGGAGGGCCACCTTGAGGTGGACCGGCCTGGCCGAAGTCGACTTGTCGCCGACGCGGCTGGCGAAAGTTTGGACCGTCGTCGACGGTCATCTGAAGCAAAAGTTTTAGTGCAAAGCAAAGGTGAGGAAAGGAGCGGAAATGGTAGAAGACAATCAAAACAAGGATATTGGAAAGAGTAGAGTGTTGGCCAACTTGTTTTCGAAGGCTAGGCTAGCATTAGACCTACCCAAGAGCTATTTTGCGTAATTGTAAGAGGGGTAAGGCTAATCCTCGACTATCGAAGTTTTCGAACAATATTAGAGACGATACGCTTAGCCCAAGTCGAAAATGGGTTGAAAACGGTCGTAGGCCATATAGGCCTCGGAATTGCCTGATGGCAAGGGCCCCTTTGGTAAAAGCTAGCGCGCATTGACGGAGAGTCTGGCAACAGATTGGAGGAACAGTTCAGTTTGGAAAAAGGATCGCTTTATAGCAACAGTCCCTGGAGAAACGCTTTCGGGGAAGGAAATGAGCAGTTCCCGGCGCTGGGGGTATGGAACACGTAGGATTCTGGACGAACAACTACGCAGAACATTCTCAAAAGTTACAATGATCAAATGCCCCATTCCGTGATACGCAACTCTTCAAAACATTTGTAAAAAAACCGAAATTCAGACGCGGGGATTCGGCAAAAAATCGCTGCAACTCAAATTTCGGAAAAAGGCTCGAGGGGCGCAGGAACCGCGGTTTGCTTTCGTAAGGGGGAGCGTCGCGTCGTGCCCTCGGGTGCCGTCTGCGAAATGTAAAGTAAGGTAAAAATAATCGCAAAAAGTTTTACCGCTTTTCAAAGCTTCAAATTAAACAAAAACATTTTTGGCGATAATTGGGCGTATGTACGTCGACGTTGAGAAGGACACAAATGGGTATAAAACGTTTATTGAAGCTCTTCAAAAAAATGACGGTAGATAAAATTGGTTAGATGGTCGAAAAGGACAAGCAAAATTAATTATATTTTCGAATCATTCTTGTAAATTGGCACGACACGAGCGGCATTCCCAGGCAGAATGGTCGCCTTCTCGCGCCATCGGAAATAGACAAAACGAGTCGCGTCCGTGTGGGGGCCATGTTTCTTTATTGCAATGACGATAGGCGATTACCACGGCTGAAATGGGGTTTAAGGTAACTAGATAATTCTAAGCTGACGTGGCTGTAAAATTTACTTCTTACGATACTTACCCTGACCAATGCCTGATAACCGGAAGTAGTAGGCTAGACATTCTTCCTCACGGTATAGCTGTAAAAATGTGTGGTTTGTTCAATAGTGGGCTTCGGAATTATATCCCTGGTCCTCGTTAAAATTAGCCACCGACCGGGCGTCTTTTGGCCATTATTTCGGAAACACAGACGGCGTCCGGATGGCTCGCAGGCAAAGTTCGATGCTCGGAAAATCGGCCTTTAGTTCGCGCTGAAGAGACGCTATCTTTAATAGTAAAATTAAATAAACGCAACCTTGAGGGTAAGAATTGTACATCTCATATCGCGTTCATTTACTTCGTATAACATCCCTGGCATGAGGTTATCTCGGTTGGAAAGCCACAACTAAAGAAATCACTTGACACTTGACTTTAGATACCGTAGGCCGGTTCTTTCGCACTATAAAATATTATAATAATATTATCGGGGGGTGGGGGGGGGGGGGTCAAGATAGTTTCTTAGGACCAATTTTTGAAATATAAATAGCGGAAGTGTTTCTAAACTGTTTTGACTAATCCCAAAAACCTTTAAATAGTTTGAAAAATCGATTATTCGACCAAAAATGGCCTTTTTTGGCGAAAATTTGGTACTTATCTAGTTGGGGGGGGGAGGGGGGTACTTTGGGTACCTGTTAGGAGACACTTTTTTAATCGGTTTTTCGACTCTTGCTGGGGTAGTTTTTTACGCAGAGTGCGAATAGAGTCGCAACAGCATGCGAAACGGTTGGGTTTATCCAGAAAAACAGTGTAAAAAAATATTAATAAAGGTGTACTTATGCACAATTTGGGGCTTGCTGCATTGTCAGGCAAGGCGGGCCGTCGCTTCGGATGGGCTGCCGCTCCACTCTTTCGAAATCGGGGCGCCTGGCCGCTTCGGCGCGCCTCGGGCGCCCCGATTTCGAAACCCTGTACGAGCTCGCACCCATCCGAAGCGACTAGGCCCCGGGTGGCACGAAGCCTTATTTTTAGGCTCAAATTGGGTGTAATCATCTCTAAATCTTAAAAACGTTTAGATCATTGTGTTTTACCACTCTGATTTTGTTATATTCGGAACCAGCACAAAAAAATAGCCTAGAAAGACTCAAAAAGTCGAAAACCAAGGTGCCCCCCAACTTGATAAGTGCCGAAAATTTCAACTTTTTGCAAGTTTTCTAATTTAAATATAGTTTTATCTAGTAAAACATTTTGAATACTTCCTTTTCCTATTAATACTAGGCATTTCTCAGTTATAAAAAATTTAGCCCCCCCCCCAATAATGCGAAAGAACCCATATGCCAAAACGCCCAAACCGCAACCGACTTGTAGAATTTCGGCGAGTTGGGGTGTTGGAGGAAGGCTACACCGCCAATAGCGTTCCATTTCCAGGCAGCAAATGACTAGCTCCGGTTGACGATCCCTTGGTTCACGCAGTGCGATTTCTTCGAGGACTTGTAAGTTTTTTTCCAGACGCTTCAATCGGGTCTCGTCTTCAATCTGAATTCGTTCCATGGTCCATATTTGTCGCTCGCAGAGCTTCGGGGGCCAATAAACCCTGTAAACCCGAGGTGCCCTTGAATGATCACTTACCCTCGCATCGTCGGTCTGTTTTTCATTCAGAAGCATAGGCTGAAACAAACATTTTTGAGAGCTAGGCTGCTGCTTACACGAGCAAATGTCGACTTCCGCCCAGAGGCATGAAGTATCCGCTGCAGTTCGACAATTGTGACGCAATCGTTGAGATAAACCACCATCTCATCGACGTTGCGCAGCGCCCCGGATACCCAGGGGAAAACCTAAAAAGCAATCGTAGATCCGGAGAGCTAACAAGGGGATGGTCTCAGCTCGGCATCGAATTTCGGTTTGAAAATTTGCACACTTATAGAGCTCGACGAGACAAATCGATTGGTGTAACTTTCAGCAGCAGATACCCCGAACTAACAAAGTTATAAGCATTTTGAGTTTTTGCATACATTTTGCAGATTATTCCCCTACCTTCATAAGCCCTCCCCCTTCCCCCATCAGCGTGGTCTGGCGGTCTAGTGGCGTGGTACGCGGCGTATGGGGAATCTATCGAGGGTTCGAACCCGCTCACGATTTTTATTTTTTGCTTTTTGGTCCAAAGATTCCTCTTGGCCTTCTAAAGGCCTTCAATAACTTTTTCAGCATCAACTATACACCAGGAAGCGTTGCCAACAATATAGCAGCTTTGCGAAAAATTTAAAGTTGTGTGCCTGTGCTCATGCCTCCTCAAAAAATTTTGGGGAAATTTTCAGAAGGCTGGCAATCTGCTTATCAACACTTTATCGTATCCCAAGCTTCATGAAAATAATTAAAATTATTTTCTTTGAACTGATCCTACTATGGTTACCTTGCCAACTTTCAAAATTTCCAAAAATTATTAGGAGTGGGATTTTTTTTGCTGCGAGCGCTTTCTGGTTCCTGGTGAATGCCTAAAAAGCCATTCGGCGAAATACAAAATACACATTCGGGGAAATAAAAATTCGGCTAGATGAAAATTCGGCGAAATGAAAATTCGGTGATATGAAAATTCGGCGATATGAATGTAAATCCAATTTATCACCAGGCAGGCCTAGGCTAAACAAAGAAAAGTTGGCAACCGCCCCCCGCTAAAATAACCGTCCCCCGTTAACCTGGAAGCACGAAAATTTGTATAGTTTCTATGCTTAAGAATAGTTAAAAACAATTAAAAAACCGCACGCTCTATCTAAAAAAAGTTAGGCTTGGGTTGAGAAAATTTTAGTTTACCTTACCTGAGGGTCGGGTGCCCTGTCCCCGGGTGTGTCTCGAAACTTTCTGCAAGCCCATGGTGTCGGACCGCCGCTGACCTAAAGATCACAGGCAACCACGATGAATTAATTTTCAAGACTCACCGTTATCATTTTTTCCACTGCAAAAAACAACTGGCGTGACGTGGTGATTCGGTTGACCGGGCCTTGAAATTGCGAGAAAAGCGCCGAAGGTCTGGGGAATTTCCTGTATTATTGCATTGAATTTTTCGCTGGAAGCTCTACCTACCTAATCAAGGACATTGTTCCGCGATGTGGTGGCTTGCTCAACGGAAAGTAACATCCAGTGGCATAATATTCCTGTACCGCAGCGCCCCTGGAGCTTATCACATCCGGCTCACGAAAACTGCAAATGTCTTTACATGCCTAACTGGAAGCCTGCCAAACCCCTCGGGGATCGGTGCTTGACATGCCAACACCATCGTGTCCTCAAAATCGCTGACGTAGAATGTGTGACCGTCCCGATCTTCCACCCAGAAAATGAGCTCGCGTCTTTGAGCCTGGAAAGGATACCTTCGCATTATCGAAGGGGCGTGACAGAATTTTTTTCTTGCAACTCCCAGATTGCAACCCGAAACCGGGCATGTTTTTAATCGTATTTGAAGTTTAGCCAAAAAACACTGTTTAGGCACTACAAATTACGTTATTACGCTTAAGAAAGGTAATTCTAATTACAGTAACGATAATAATGATAATGATAGAACTCGCGAGGGGCTTTCGCAATATCGGGGGAGAAACAACTTTTTTTTCCTAGAAGTCAAGGAACACCTAACAACGTAATTGTGAGTGCCTTGCTAGTGTTTTCAGTAAAATGTCATTATATTTTAAGTGGAGAAAAAAAACATAATAAAAACTTTTAGTTGAAATTTCGGACGAAAAAATCACATTTTTTGTATTTGTTAATCAAAATTTGTAAAATTTTTACATTTAGGTATGGTAAAAAAACGGCTAACTCTTCATCATATTAGAGAAATTGGATCCTTAGGAAAAGTGCACCCCCCCCTCCCCGATAATGGGAAAGAACCTAATGCGAATAAGACGAGCATACCCCGTAATAGTTATGTCGACATGT